AATTGTTGCTTGAAGCGACTGTTTGGCCTGCTTGTGGAAGCCTTCTATAATTGAATGGTGGCATCAGGTGACAGTTACTCCAGAAGCTAATAGGACTGCTGTATTGAGAAGTGGGACTTCAAATGGGTTGATTGGTTGGATGCCACTGGGGGGTCATTGTCCACCCAGCTCGGGTGTTGGGGCTAGGCTTGAGTGATAGAAAGCTCAGAAGAACCCTAAGAAGAAGAAGACTTCAGATGTAATAAAGAGGATTATTCCGTATCGTAGGCCTGATTGCACAGGGGGTGTATGATGACCTTGGTAGGTGCCTTCGCGAGTTACGTCACGCCATCATTGGTATATAGTAAGAAGGGTGGTGATTAATCCCAGGGACAGAAGGTGAAGGGTTTTATGGTGAAATCAGGTGGCGAGCCCTGAGGTTAAAAGTAGGGCAGCTAAGGCTCCAGTTAGGGGTCAGGGACTTGGGTCAACTATATGGTAGGCGTGAGTTTGGTGGGTCATTAAGAATTTTCTTGAAGGTAGAGAGTGAGGAGAAGGGTAAAGACGAAGGCTTGAATAAGTGCTACAGCAAATTCTAGGAGTGTAAGAAGGAGTAGAGTAAGAGATGTGAGTAGGGCAATTGCTGGTAGAGAAGATATTATTGCAAAAGTAGCCATGGAAATTAACTGAAGTAGAAGGTGACCGGCAACTAGGTTGGCGGTCAGCCGTACGCCTAGGGCTAGGGGTCGAATTAGAAGGCTGATAGTCTCAATTAAGATTAGGGCTGGGATTAGGAGGGTGGGGGTGCCTTCGGGTAAGAGATGGCCCAAGGAGATGGTTGGTTGGTTTTTTAGACCTACCAGTACTGTGGCTAGTCATATTGGGGCTGCTAAGGCTATATTAAGGGTGACCGGCAACTAGGTTGGCGGTCAGCCGTACGCCTAGGGCTAGGGGTCGAATTAGAAGGCTGATAGTCTCAATTAAGATTAGGGCTGGGATTAGGAGGGTGGGGGTGCCTTCGGGTAAGAGATGGCCCAAGGAGATGGTTGGTTGGTTTTTTAGACCTACCAGTACTGTGGCTAGTCATATTGGGGCTGCTAAGGCTATATTAAGAGACAGTTGGGTGGTTGGGGTGAAGGTGTAGGGTAGAAGTCCTAGAAGGTTGGCGGTTGTGAGGAAGATTATTAGGGAGGTGAAAACGGCTGCTCATTTACGTCCTTTAGTGCTGAGAGGTAATAAGAGTTGTTTGGTGAATACAATTTTTAATCAGGATTGGAGGATTGTAGGTCGGTTGTTAGTGAGTTGGGCATTAGAAGTTAAGGTGAGAGTTACTGGAAGGCTGATAGCGAATACAATTAGGGGGATTCCCAGCAGTTCTGGGCTGGCAAATTGGTCAAATAGGCTTAGGTTCATAGTCAGGTTCAGTTTGGGATTGTGGGGTTATTGTTGAGATTGGGGAGTGGGAGAAGAGGCGTTGTCGAGAGGAGTTTCGTGAAGAAAAGAAGAATTAATGAGAATCAGGAGATCAGTAGGATAAGGAATCATGGGTTGGGATTGAGTTGAGGCATTCACTGAGGGGTTGGAGGCCCTTCTTTAGCTTAAAAGGCTAATGCTTGAAGAAGCTTCTCAGAGCTAGAGCAGAGCTATTTTTGATGTTCAGTTTTCAAAGTGTTTTAGCGAGGTAGATTCTACTGTAATGGGTATAAAACTGTGGTTGGATCCACAAATTTCTGAGCACTGCCCGTAGAATAGGCCTGGTCGGGTAGCGGTGAAAGTTGTTTGATTGAGTCGTCCTGGTACGGCATCAGTTTTAATTCCTAGGGATGGGACTGCTCACGAGTGAAGTACATCTTCTGCTGTGATTAGGATGCGGATGGGGGATTCTGTGGGGACAACTATGCGATAATTAACGTCAAGAAGGCGGAAGAATCCGTTGGGCAGGTCTTCAGTGGGGATTATATACGAGTCAAAGGACATGTTCTTGTAGTCAGTGTATTCATAGCTTCAATATCATTGGTGTCCGATAGTTTTGATGGTCAAGTGAGGATTATAAATTTCATCTATCAGATAGAGAATACGTAATGATGGCAAGGCAATTACGATTAGGATAATTGCTGGGAGAGCGGTTCAAATGGTTTCAATTTCTTGGGTGTCTATGGTATCAGTATGTGTAAGGTTGGTAGTTAGTGTTAGGGTTGCGGAGTATACAACTACAGCGCTGATAAGAAGCATGATGATGAGAGCGTGATCATGGAGATGGAGGAGTTCTTCTATAATGGGAGAAGTGGCGTCTTGAAATCCTAGCTGGGTTGGGTGGGCCATTAGAACTCATAGGGTTTAGCCTATAACTTAGCGCTGACAGGGCTATATAATGATTTACTAGGGTTCTTAAGAGAGAAGTATAAAGGTGATGCGTCCTGTTTGAAACTGGAATAAGGTGGTTCAATTCCTCCCTCTCTTGACTCAGTTGTGGCTGGAGTAGGGTCCTCATCGTTTGAATGAGTATCGATTTTGCATTTCTTGGACTAGTACTGGCTCTTCATAGGTGTGGAAGGGCGGTGGAGATCCATGGATTCACTCGAGATTAGCTTCGGGTGAGGCTGTTGTTAGAACGAGGCGCTTAGCGGAAAAAGCTTCTCAAATGATAAAAATTATTATGATGACTCCTATAAGGGAAATTAGGGATCCAATTGATGATAATGCATTTCATAGGGAGTAAGCGTCTGGGTAATCAGAATATCGACGTGGTATACCTGCGAGGCCAAGAAAATGTTGAGGGAAGAAGGTTATGTTAACTCCAATAAATATCGTACCAAATTGAATTTTGGTTCATAGTGGGTGGAGTGTAAAACCTGAGAATAGAGGGAATCAGTGCATGAATCCTGCTATAATTGCGAAGACTGCTCCTATGGACAGAACGTAGTGGAAATGGGCTACGACATAGTAGGTGTCGTGCAGGACGATATCAAGAGATGAGTTGGCCAGAACAATGCCAGTTAGTCCTCCTACGGTAAATAGGAAGATAAATCCGCAGGCTCATAGTATAGGTGCATCTCATTTGATAACTCCTCCGTGCATTGTTGCTAGTCAGCTGAACACCTTAATTCCTGTTGGGATTGCAATAATTATTGTGGCGGAGGTGAAGTAGGCTCGTGTATCCACATCTATGCCTACGGTAAATATGTGGTGGGCTCATACTAGGAAACCTAGTAGTCCAATTGATATTATGGCTCAAACCATTCCTATATAGCCGAATGGTTCTTTTTTGTTAGAATAATAGGAAATGATGTGGGAAATTATTCCGAATCCAGGTAGGATTAAGATGTAAACTTCTGGGTGCCCAAAAAATCAGAATAGGTGTTGATAAAGAATGGGATCTCCACCGCCGGCCGGATCAAAGAAGGAAGTGTTTAGATTGCGGTCAGTGAGAAGCATTGTGATTCCTGCAGCCAGGACTGGCAGTGAGAGGAGGAGGAGGACTGCGGTGATTAGTACGGATCAGACAAATAAGGGCATATGGTATTGAGTTATTGTGGGGGGTTTTATGTTGATGCAGGTGGTAATGAAGTTGATGGCCCCAAGAATGGATGAGACTCCTGCCAGGTGGAGGGAGAAGATTGTCAAATCAACTGACGCTCCGGCGTGGGCTATGTTTCCTGCAAGAGGAGGATACACAGTCCATCCTGTCCCTGACCCAGCTTCTACTCAGGCTGAGGCTAAAAGTAAAAGGAGGGATGGGGGAAGAAGTCAGAAGCTCATATTATTTATCCGTGGGAAGGCTATGTCTGGGGCGCCAATTATTAGGGGAACTAGTCAGTTTCCGAAACCTCCAATTATAATAGGTATGACCATGAAGAAAATTATGACAAGTGCGTGTGCGGTTACAATGACATTATAGATCTGGTCGTTTCCGAGAATAGTTCCGGGCTGGCTTAGCTCAGCTCGAATTAGGAGGCTTATGGCAGTCCCGATTATTCCGGCCCAAGCTCCAAAGATTAGGTACAGGGTCCCAATGTCCTTGTGATTAGTGGAGAATAGTCAACGGGTCAGGGTCATGGGTAAGATGGCTGAGTCAGGCGGTAGATTGTAAATCTATTTACGAGGAAAAATACCTCTCTTATCAGGTCCAGATTTTGTTGGATTGCAAATCCGATATTGGGTATGTTTACCCCTGGACTTCTCCCGTTTTCTCCCTTTTAAAAACGGGAGAAGTAAGTAGAAGCCCTCTGGTTTGGGTAGCTAGCTGTTAATTAGTTTATTGCGGGATCGAGGCCCGTCTACTTAGGAAGGCTTTAGCTTAATTAAAGTGTCTGGGTTGCATTCAGATGATGTAGATGAGAGTTTTACAGGTCTTGCAGAAATTGAGAGCTTGGTACTTTCTTTTAGGGCTTTGAAGGTCCTTGGTTTCATTAACCTAAATTTCTTATTGGATTATTGCAGGGGTAATAGGAAGAAGGAGGAGTGAGGCAAGGGTAAATGTGGATAAGGCAAGGGTGTTTGAGTTGGATTTTAGGCGTCATGAACTTTTGAGGGGAGTGGTGGATGGTGGGAGGGTTATCGTGGAGATGTAGGTGATTCGGAGGTAAAATATTAGACTTAATAGGGCTGTAACCGCTATTGTTAGGGCTAAAGGAGTCAGGTGGTGTGAGGTTAGTTCTTGTAGAATTAGTCATTTGGGGGAAAATCCGGATAGTGGGGGAAGTCCCCCGAGTGAGAGGAGAGATAGGAGGAAGAGGCTTGTAGTGATTGGGGAGTGGGAGGAGATAAGTGTTGTGTTTTGTAATGTTTTTGTTATGGAAAGGTGTATGATTAGTATTGTTGAGGATGTGAGGATGATATAGAGAATTAGGTTAAATAGGGTAAGGCTGGGGGTGATTGTAATGATTACAATTATTCAGCCTAAGTGAGCAATAGAAGAATAAGCTATTATTTTTCGAAGTTGGGTTTGGTTAAGTCCTCCTAGACCTCCAATGATAGTGGATAGGAGGCCCAGGGACAGGGTAATGGAGATGGGAACAAGATCTCATGTTGTGATGAGAAGTGCTATAGGAGCGATTTTTTGTCAAGTGGTGATGATAAGTGCTGTAAGTATGGGTACTCCTTGAAGGACCTCTGGAAGTCAGAAGTGAACTGGGGCTAAACCTAGTTTAGTGGCTAGGGCTACTGTAAATACAATTTTTGATAGGTTGTTTGAGGTATGTATGATGTCTCAAGTTCCATAGATGTGGGCGTTAATAGTTCCTGAAAGCAGAATTAGTGCAGAGCTGGCAGCTTGGATGAGAAAGTATTTTGTTGAGGCTTCAGTTGCTCGTGGGTGGTGAGCTTTTGAGATAATAGGAATGATGGCTAAGGTATTAAGTTCTAAACCTAGTCATGCTGACACTCAATGATGGCTTATCATTGTTAGGGTGGTTCCAGCTATTATGCTGAAAAGAAGGATGAAGTTGATGATTGGATTAATTAGTGAAGGAAGGTTTTGACCAACGTTTTCGGGGTATGGGCCCGAGAGCTTAATTAGCTGACTTCACTAGTAGATAGTATAATGGAAGTACATAAAATTTTGGGTTTTACAGTATAGGTTCAAGTCCTATTTTCTAGGAAATGAGGAAGTGTTTTTCCTATAGTCTATTCTATCAAAATAGCCCT